GTTTGGACAACACTGATCTAAGGGATGAAACCCTTGTCCCATGTGCTTCATATTAATATGTGAGCAAAAGCCATGCTCCAAGTCACTCTGATGAATCATGCATTTGACACCTTCTATTCTAGGTAAAGCCATTAGTGATTAAATTGCTTATGCTCACTTTTAAATGACCTTTGGTAAATGCTGTTAATCACTTTATTGATTAATTCATTTCTCTCTTTCCCCACAAAGTTACTTGCAACTTTGAGATTCTGAAAGATATCAGTTAAATTGTTTGGGGGCTATAAACAAAACCACATAAACAGCTAATTCTCGTAAGCATGCACGCATGGACACGCACAACAGAAGCTCTATTCCTGCCTAGAGTCAAAAAGCAATCTTTATAGTGCAGTATCAGTCTCTTTGCTTGAAAAGAAGTTGAATGAAAGAAATCTGTAGCTTTCCCAGCACATTATATAGTTATATATATGCAGCCTTATGCTCTGTTAATGGACTGAGCAATCCAAGATGACAATGGAAAGATAATCAATGGCTTATAGCAGATCCCCCTCATTCCCTTTCCTTTCCACCCCCAGAAAAATATGTGCAACTCTCCAGGGCTGGTGTATGTTTCTCCCTGATATGAGGATTTTGGATCTGATGGATCGAAAGTCTCTCTTAGTCCAATGCCCTCTTTTTGCCACTGTTACCATTGCAAGTTTGATGGCAGAACAAGGAGGCAGTCATGGTGTACATGGTGGGCATGGTGCTCTTATATTGGCTTTTCAATTTTTATCTGATTTAATTTGTTGTCTTGACTGTTAGTAATGATACTCTGATATTATGCAGGTTACCTTATTCAAGTTGAAATAAAATGGGAGGTTTATGAGAAATGCTCTTGTACTTCATTTTATTCACTTAGGCTCTCAATGCCTAAACATTGAGGAGACAAGGCAAGAAAATGTACAATGCATTTGGCAAGCCCATTCTTCTCTTAACTTTGGAGAAAATGCTCAGACACAGTAGCCAAAGTAGGCAGAATTACACAATTCCAGGAAAATATTTTGCCAACACTGAGGAAGTGATTGCACCATTTTACATGAGCCCCCCCCCTCTTCTTATTTCTTTCAAATATACCTACAGTATATTTATATAAATATACCTTCCTACCATGTTAGATAGATATATCATGTTGTATAAATATACCTTCCTACCATGTTAAACTAATGGAAGTCCATTGAACAAATTGCCACTAATATGATACCTCAAGGAACAATCCATACAGTGTTCTTGTAACACTCTATGGCCCTGCAGCTTCACAATCAGAATTAGTTCTCATAATAATTAAATAATAATTTTTCAAATAGATTCAACTTTATCCTGAAAGTTTTTGATGAAGGCAAGAAAGCAATTTGGATCCAGAAAGACACGTATGGGCAATTTTAATTAAAACGAAATACACTTTATTGCTACAACTTTCTGTCAGGCTCAGTCAGCACATTTGCAAAATACAGTTAATGCAATCTAGATTGCTCTAATATTGTTAAAGAATTGGCTCCCAACCTAAATTAAAAGAAGTAATGGAGCCAAGCATCTAACAGGATACTGTATATATGGTCTTACTATTCTGTATTTTGTATTCTGGTATGGCCTTATGGCTAATCAATATATTATATTACTACTACTACTACTAGTACTATAGGATACCATATTATTTGCTGCATCCTATTATTGCACCCTTAATTTATGGTGCAAACATAAATCCTCTATGGAGTCCTTTGTACTCTCTGAGCTTGGTTGCTTGCTTACAGATGTTTCATTACCCAACTAGATAACATCATCAGTGTGATGATGATGTTACCTAGTTGGGTAATGAAACATCTGCAAGCAAACAATTAAACTCAGAGTGCACCAAGGACTCCACAATTCAACCCTGAGCTACATATATTTTCTGAATAACATTTCAGGAGGCTTTATCATTGATATAGGCATATTAATTGCATATAGAATAATGGGCGTTCTGGATAGGTTTTATTGTTATATTTTAAGTTTTGGCTATGACTCTGCTTTGAATACAGTGGCAAGAAGTTTAAGTGATGGTGGTTTATTACTATGCTTTTATGATATGCTTTTGTGAGTTTGATATATTATGAAATTTTCAAGGTATGACATTTATTGTTGTAATGTGCCTAAGATGGTTTAGAAATATTTAAAATATAGCCACATAAATCTGAAAGCATGCTTTCCTTAAGCTTCAAAGAAAAATCTATATTTAGAGCTATGTATTATTGGCAGATGGCACATTCTGTCCATGTTTGGAAACACTGGAGGAGTAGGGTACCTAGAGAAAATGCTATCATGCATTTCATTGAAAGCAGGATTCTTTTCTATTTACATTTAAAAACTTTATACCCAAACACATATTGTATAGGTTGAAGGTTACATCCATTGACAGGAAATTCTTTTTTAAAGGAGGAAAATATCTCTAACTAAGAGGAGGCACTTTGCAAGACCAGAGCCACCAGCAGGTTTTGGAGTTGACCATGCTGAAAACTGATGGCACCTCTTCCTGTCTTTTTAAGATAGGAAATACAGTATATGAAGACTTTAGTGGAAGTCTTAAACAAGTGCACCCACAGTGAACACACAAGAAACCCCCTAACTGCCTCTTAAACCAGGATGATTTACCTTCATTGTGGCCCTTAACGACCCCCCCCCCCAATGCTTAGTGCAATTCTTGTTGACAAAAGAGTGGCTTCTTTTATGTCTTAAGCAATTTCTCCCTAAACATATTGGAGTAAATATTATGCAAGGTAACTCTAGAATTGTATCATCTTTTTTTTTTTCTAGAACAGGGGCACCTATCTGAGTTCTTCATGAAGCAACTGCAGAGGGCTAGTAGGAGAGATATGTGGTGATTTTTGTTTGAAATATTATCTTTTCTTTTTCTAAAATGATTGGCCTGGGTTCAAAAATTAGTATTTCTAGTGTTTAATATGTAAAAACATGCAAATTACAATTGTTTGGAAATATTGATACATACCTGATTTCCAAATAGCTTGGTGTATACAGTGCCTTCACCACCTAGACTGTCTTGTCCTCTTCTTATAGAAACTATCCAAATAAATGTTTTGTGTCAAACCATTTTTTAATAGTTTTGTTTCAAGAACTTTGTTTACAACTGAAAGTCCTATCAGGAAAGAGCCATGGAATACATAATCTTAGAGCAGTTTATTTAGTATAATAATAATATTGTGCCTTCAAGGCAGTGTCGACTCCTGGTGACTGCCTGGACTAGTCCCTGCAGTTTTCTTGGCACTATTTTTGAAATAGTGCCATGAAAATGGAATACTTTGCCATTGCCTCCTTATTGCAGCTAAGAAGGAGTGACCCATGGTCAGCCAGCTGGTTTCTTACCTAAGGCAAGACTAGAACTCCACTTTCTAATCTGGTGCCTTAACCACTACACCAAACTGGTTCTCATTTAGTATAATGCAGTTTCCAAATTCCTTATTCTAAAGACATGGAGAAATTCTGAAAAAGGTATTTTGCAAGTTACCCTTCTTGTCTAAACTTATCCTGAAGCTCTAGGGCTTTACTGGGGGCATCTTTCTGTTGAATTTCCAACCACAGATGATTTCCTTGGATACCTTCTCTCTATATTTAAGGGGCACACAAAATCTTTTTGTTCACGAGATATTACAGGCAGTTTCCATGAGATCACCACCATTTTTCTCTCAACAATGCTCTTTGGAAGAGCCCTATGAAGTGATTTCTTCCCACTCCAACGCAGCTTTTTTGATAGAGAAGTCTGTAGAACTGCTCTCATTTGTAGTAATGTAAAAGCACATTAAAAAAAAACAGAAAAAGAAAAGCTAGTCTTGCTAATCTAGATAAGACCCCCCACTCCCCATCCTGACAATTACTGAGAATTTGCAGAACTCCAAAATTCACCAATTGGTTGTGGGAGAAGTGGCTCTCTAAACAACCCAAATTTAGTAAAATGGGACCATTAATTCACACACATACCTTCCACATATTCAAAATCAGTATTAAATTAAATACATTATAATTCCATCAAGTTGAAGTTGTTACCAGAGAAAATACAGACGAAATAGGGAAATGTATAGAGAAAATGGGTATGGCTGTACAGGGTTCCAAAGTAAAATGGAAAATATGATTGGAGACTGTAAGGGTATAATCAGAGCATCTGACAGTAACACTTTAACCCAAATGCATCATTTAAGTGCCAGCAGAGGAGGGCAGCCACATAAGCCTAGGAAAAGATGCAACTTCTTTAAGGGGTTCTTGACAGGTGCTATGTCTGTGGCTGAAAATACATTTTGCCCTTCTAATCAAGAGTTTTGCACAGCCCTAAAGTCAAACAGGATCAAACTAATGTGACTTACCATCAGAATTGTGAATAAAGGTGATTCTGTCTGTCAGGAATGAAAAAAAAATCCAATCAGTATGTATATGTGTGTGTGTGTGTGTATGTGTGTATGTGTGTATGTATGTATGTATGTGTACATACACTACCCTGCTGCTTTTAGATACCAACACTGCTACAACATACGATGTTGCCAGATTCTGTGCAGCAGTACTCAAAATTAATCAGATGATGACCTGTGCTATAAACTAGATTTAATGAGCATCTAGTTCACCATATGAGAATGTTCTGTCACTTGATAGATATGGCCTTCCACATACTAACCTTTTATGCTCCCCTTGTTGTTGTTCAGTCGTTAAGTCGTGTCCGACTCTTCGTGACCCCATGAACCATATTGCGCCAGGCCTTCCTGTCCGTCCCTGCCTCCCTGAGTTTGCTCCGTTTCATGGTCATTGCTTCAGTGATGCTATCTAACCATCTCATCCTCTGCCGTCCTGTTCTCCTTTTGCCTTCAATCTTTCCCAGCATCAGGATCCTCTGCCGTCCTGTTCTCCTTTTGCCTTCAATCTTTCCCAGCATCAGGATCCTCTGCCGTCCTCTTCTCCTTTTGCCTTCAATCTTTCCCAGCATCAGGGTCTTTTCCAAATTATTGGAAATTATCCCAATTATTGTGGGTGTATGCTCCCCTACACCCACAATAATTCTCTTAGATTGTTTTTTATATATACTTTCTGTTTTTAAACTTCTAGCTTTTCATAATTTTTTTAGATTTTTGTTTTTACTCTGATGTATCCTCTATACTTTTTAAATGACTATACCCCACCCTCCTTATGCTGGTCTATTACTGTAATAAATATTTGATTTGAATACACATACATACATACACATCTGAGTTTATCTTTGGTAATTTGGACAAAAATTTTAGTATAAAATGGCTGGTGTGGGTCTTCTGGGCTGTGTGGCTGTGTTCTGGAAGTTTTGTTTCCTAATGT